ACTTTGAACTCCCTGAGCATTCTGCCAGCTCAGGGAGGTGCAGGGCTTAGAGGGGCTGGGTTTTACCAGGGGAGTGAGACAGAAGGAGTAGTGTACAAGGTCATAAAAGAGACAAGGAAGCACGTAGTCTAAGCTTACCAAAGAAGGGCCTGAAGCCAGCAGAAGTGATGATGGCAGCTTCCACCCCACCTCCCTTGGTGACACTGTCTGACTAATCTCTCCATGGCCTGGTTCCTCCTTGCTCACAGTTATGCACTTGCATGGGATCCCTGGGACCCTCTGGCCCCTATTAGGCTTGTGTGAGGGGTGCAAGTGAGGACAGGTGTGTCTCCTGGAGCTGGCAGGTTCCAGAGTGAATTTCAGGGACAGCCAGGAGACAGCTGGAGTGGCAGAGACCTCTGGACATCATGGCTGAGAGGTAGAAGAGGGGAGAAGAGCAGCACAGGGAGGAGGGAGGGCCTCACTGAGGCTGGGATGGCTGGTCTCTTGGTGGGTCTGGTGGAGACACCACCCACCTGGAGCTGCACCCAATTGAGGTGCTGCTGCCACCTTGTGGCCCAGCGGGGAATGCCTGAGCCGCTGCTCAGGTGCAAGGATTTAGCTCCACCTGCTGGTCAAGCGCTATATCTGCGCCTGTGGAGACCTGCCAGCTCTCTGTGGAGACCCCCACCATCACCAGCTTGAATGGCATAAATGCTCAGGAGGTGGGGGTGGTAAGACGACTGGCACAAGAGAAAGAGGTCCCAGCCAGATTGCCTGGGGTAGGATCCCACCTCCAACTCCGGCCACTATGCAGCTCCGTGCCTCATTCTTCTCACATGTAGGGTAGGTCAAGACATGCATGGACTAGGCTGCTGGGTATGGAAGAGGTATGGAAGGCTTAGCATAGTAGCCAGCACAGTATGAACTCTTCATTTAGGCTGGCAAACACAGGCAACATGGCAGGGACTCCTAGGCCTTATGGTTGGGAAGGGCTCACTTCTGACCTCTAACCCTGACCTTTGTCTCAGGCTTCAAGCCCACCCTCCCTACCCCTCATTTGTGGAGGTGAGCCCAGAGGTGGGAAAGGGGACAGGAATACGTGTTTCAAAGTGGCCTCAGCCTGACCTAGACCCTGGCCACCCTCTGCTGCCATCTCACAGCTTGTGCCAATAACCCTTCTGGCAGTGTGGAGTCGGGGAGCAGCACTGGCTTCACTGCTGGGGCAGGTTGGAGGTAGAGACCAGTGCTCAGGGCTCTCCTATACCCTTCCCCGGCCTGGACCAGTGGACCTTGGTCAGAGCAGCTGGGCACGCAACACTGTCCTCTCCTTAGGCTCAGGAGTGGGTTCCTCAGGTGCCTGTTTATGCCTCATCCAGGGGTCATTGTACCCATCAGTGCAAGTGTCCAGAGATGAGGCAGCATTGAGTCCTAGCTAGTCCCAGACCACCCTGTTCTCAGCTCCCGGAGACCACCTCAGTCCATTTCTGACTCTTGGCCCCACTGGAGTTTGGGGATGGGAGGCAACAGGAAGAAGCTCCCTTGAATAGTCGTGGGCATCCCTCAGAGAGTAAAGGGCCAAGATGAAACAAGGGGAAATAAGGGGAAGCTACCTCCAGGCCTCAGGGCCACAGACTGTCTTGGGGCTCCCATCCCCTTACCAAGAGGGCTCACCCCTAAGGATGAAGAGGGAAGAGAGGTGATAGGGGCTAGAGTACTGTCCCTTCACCCACCACCTGCCTGTGTCCTGAGCTCCTTGGAGTGGGTCCTGGCCACATGGGGATGGTGGGAAGAAGGAGGGTTTGGTTGTGTCCCACAAGCCAGAGGTGTCTGAATCCCACACCTGACCATCTGGATGGAGCTCACATTTTGTCTCTCCAGGGAGCTCCAGGGCTTCTGGGGCTCACAGGCCTCAGGAAGGCCTAAGCTTTGGAGCCATCATATTCTCTTGGCCACTCAGAAAGCAAGGCTCACATCTGGGAAGGTCTCAGCCACTCCTAAGGCAAAGGCCTAGCTGGGACTTGATACCAAGCTGAGGGAAGGGTGGTTATTTCTCCAACTCCATGGCCTACTTGACCCCTATCTGCAGTAACTGCACAGACACATATATAAATTCACACACATGTATACACACACATAGGCACTTCCCAGACACACAAACACCTACTACACCATATAAATGTGTATGCGGACATGTGCATAGACTCACACACTCATATCCACCCATTCCCACAGGCTTAAACACCAACACAGAAACATGGACACACACACACACACGTGCACACACTTTCCTGTGTTGGCAGTTCAGCCCATGGTCACTATCTCTGGCCTCTAGAACTATATGAGACTTAGGGCTATATGAGGTGGGGGCAGAGTAGATTCAGGATTGGGTTTTGGGGCCAGCCCGCTGCAGTTGGAAGTCATGCTGGGGGCCACTGAATAATGACTGTGGTCTCCCAGAGGGTGATCTCTATTGACATTCAGGGTGAGTTAGGAGAGGGGCTGCTGAGAGGAGATGGGGCTTCCCCATCCCCAACCTCAACACACTCATATAGAGCCAGACCTGCAGACTAAAAAACATACTTTTATACAATGACCCAGAACAATTATCTAGTTGAAACAAAAGTACAAAGGCCTTTCTTATTGTTTCTACCAGTGATGGAGTGACTTACTCCAACATGCTCCAGCCAGAGCAGAGGACCCAGCCTGCCTCCCTCCAGTCCTTGTTTACCAGATTTTAACCAGGACAGCAAGACGAGCCTTGGACTTCTTGCCTCCCCTGAGGTGCACAGCACAGGTTTGGGCCAGTGTAGAAGCTCAGTGAGAATTCTTTGGGCAAGGGGCAAGCCATGAGACCTTACTATTCTTGCCAGCACTGACCTTGTCTTCTGCCATTGCCACCCAGAAGGGAAACCCTTATTTGATGGGTACATTGTGTGTGTGTCCACACTGGAGGATTTCCCAACTCAGGCCCAGTTGTCTCTGAAGAGCTGACATAAGTCAAAGTCCTACTCCCCCACCCCATACACACAATACACATATACACACTTACCTGCATACACACTCACACTCTCATATGTTCACACACATTGTCAGGGTGGCTCCCCAAGACAATCCTAATGGTCTCCAAGCAGCAGCAGCAGTGGGTAAAGCTGCCCAGTAGGCTGCCCCAGCTGGTATCCCAGGTCTCCCCTTTGCTGAGCAGATGACATTGTGACACTCTGCCTTAGGCTGTACTGAAAGGTCATAACCAGAGGCACTTTTTCTGCATTGTGGACTCCATCTCACTTTGTGAGCACCAGAACCCAAGGCAGCTGCTTCTGGGTCATTTGTTCGTCCCTCTTGCCTCCCCTCACTAACAAAGTACTGGCTGAGTCAGGGATCAGCCTCTCAGGCTCTCCTGCTCCCACACTGCTGAGTGCTGCCTTCCCTCTCCCTCTGGGTTCCTTGTCAGATGGTCCAAACCACTGTCCAGGGAACTCAAGGGGAGGCCTCATACCCACTCAGGGTCCTCAGTCCCTGGATGCATGTAGCCCCAAGCAGGCAGAAGACACCCTCGGCTCCTTGTTCCCTCTTTAAAAATGTCCAGACTTTGTAGTGGAGGCAGGAAGGAGACAGAGCAGCTCATGCCAGTGAATGCCTGACCAGGAGCCAACAGTACATCCACCTAAGGAACCAGCAGCCCTTCCCCTAACCAGTGGGGACAGAAAAATTCCTGGTGCAAACCCACAGACAGACAGACCTGTGGATGGATTCAGAATGGTATACAGCAGGCTTCAGGCAGACACACAGAGAGACAGAGATACAGAAGCAGGCAGGCAGGCAGACAGACTCCCAGAAACAGGTAACAGTTGCCATTACACACAAGACCCAAGCACACTCACAGTCACACACACACTCAGAGTTCCACTAGATATTTCCTGTGAGATCTTTCAAGAATCACTTTGGCTTTTGACAAGTTTAGAATCATTTCTGTGGGTGAAAATGTGTGCTTTTGGAGGGAGATCTCGGGTGGTTTCAACAGGTAAATGGAGCCAGGAATTAAGGACTAGGGGGTCTGCAGATGACACTTTTGGGTCAAAGCCCTAGTTAGTCCAGAGGTTAAAACAGCTAGGGCCAGCATCACTCCCTGCCTGAAAAGGCCATACCCACAAAGACCCCTTGGTACCTGGGTAGTGCCCCATGACTCCGGTGGCAGCCCCAATTGGTGACTTGCCCAATTGTTCTGGCAGCCTTGGTGGTTCCCCACAGGTCAGTGGTTAAGAAGGAACCCTACGGGGCCTCCATGTGGACAGGTCTCTCCTTTGAGGATGACTGTGCAGCACTGGGATGGGAGGGCCCATCAGAAAGCCTGAATATGAGGTAAGCCTGCTGCTGATTTTTGAATGAGTGCCAATGGTCCTCTGCCCACCCACACACAAGGTCACCAGCCCTTCGGCCTGCAAGACCTGGCTCAGGGTGCCCTGGGGAGCGGACAGCTCAAGATGGCATAGGCAAGAGTTGAGTGTCTCCACACCCCCACATACAGTGCAGATGCAGCTGCTCTGGAAACCATGTGCTTTATTTGGAACCTCATTCCAAGGGAACCTCCCCCTGGGTTGTAGAAAAGTGCAAACCATGTGGTTTGGTACAAGGCAATGGTTCAGGGATTGCAGGATATCCCTCACTGATGGGGCCCTCATCCTTTGGGTCTCAGGCTACCCTGGTCATTGTGACACTTAGCTGAGTTGAATGAGGGCAGCTGGGACTCCAAGGGCACCCAGCCTATGCCCAAGGGCATCTCCCTCAGCCAAGAAGGGAGGGAGGAGAGTCACAGACAAGGCCCAGGGCCCCTATCCAAGGCCAGAGACCTCTGTCCCCCACCTGCTTCACTGACATATGTATCTTCACATTTTCAGAGCCCCGTTGTTCAGGATATAGCTCGGCTCCTGGACTGGGGGCCCATGGACACATAGAGCAGGATGCCCTGGAGTGGGTAAGTGGGTAGAACAGGGCCAGCCCCTGGCAGCCAACCCCACCTCTCAGTACAGGTCTGCAAAGGGCTTGGAGTAGTTGAACATCAAGTAGTCCATGTAGTAGAAGTCATACGTGCGCTGCCGCTGCAAGGTCGAGAGCTGGGCAAAGTACTGATGGGTGATCCTTGCCGTGGTCCGTGCCTCTTGAGAGTGCCGGTCCTTGAACTGGGGGAAGGTCAGGTTCTGTGGTGCATGGATCAGGCTTAGGAAGAAGTTGGCATCCTCCTCCATGCTTTCAAACTTGCCCACAAAGTCATAGTCAATGAGGCAGGGACTGCAGAGCCGGCTGATGTGATCCCAGTGGATGTCCATGCCCACAGGCCGGTGCACATCCAGCAGGTACTGGATGAACTCAGGGAACTTGACACCAGAGCCTGTCCGAAGTGCCTCCCGTGAGGCATTGGCCCGGTACCGGGCCAGGATGGCCTTGCCAAAGACAGGGTGGTAGTAGCTATTGGGGTGCTCAAACTTGTCACGGAAGGCAGAGACTAGCCTCTCAAAGGGCTCCCGGACAAAGAGCATCTTGGTGTAGGTGCTGAGACGGTGGAGGATGCCCTGGTGGTCAAAGGTATCCAGTCGTTTAAGGGCACTGCCATAGTGCACAGTGTTGTGCTGAATGTCGGCAGTGGATGAGGCCAGCCCTGCAAGCACCATGAGCACCCGCTTCCAGTTGGAGCAGCCGGCCTTGGGCACCTCGCAGTAGAGCACGCGGTGGCGATCCTCCACAAAGATGCGGGACACATGGCGTGGGGTGACTGCCCTGCGGCTGCTGCTTGCCCGATACTTGGCACATGCCTCTTGCATCACCCTCTTGCGCTCCTGCTGGCTCAGCTGCAGGCTGACCCAGTGGCCGTTCAAGGACTGTGGGCCTGGCCAGACCAGGGTGCTGGCCGAGCTATTGGCTGGGATGGCTGCTGCAACTGGCATTTTCTTGATAAGCAGCCGCCGCCGCCTCTGCTGGAGTCGCAGGCGAGCCTCCATCTTCAAGTGGGGTCCTGGCTGGTCACGCACCAGAAGCCCCAGGCTGTCCTGGGAGTTGAGGCCCCTGGGGGCAGGACTAGGCCAGTGTCGGGTGCCCCTCTCTGTGGGCACCTTAAAGTCACCATCCTGGGTATTGCCTGGTGGGAAGTCCTGGGGTAAGAATAAAAATAGTTATCAGGGTGGATAGGAAAGTTGACACAGGGTCACACGGGCCAGGCCCCTGCCATGGTCAGGGTCTTTGCTGCCTCTGTGGCCTGAGTTCTTCCCTTGGTGAAGGAGAAGGAGACAGTCTGGGCCTGCAACATGTGACCTCTCTGCACTGAGCCCTGGCTTGACTCTCCCCTAGCACCTCCGCCCCCTGCCCGTCATGGGCCAGCTGAACAGCTCAGGCCTGTCCTCGGCTGGTCATAGTTTTGCCAGCAGTGTGGGGCCTGAGGTGCAAGTGTCCTCTTAGCCACAAGATGGCGCAGGCCTCCCAGGAACCTCTGCCTGGTGAGGGTGGGCACTGGAGCTGGTGGTCTGCTGGGGGGGCTAGTTCAGATTTACTGCATCTATTAGCACAGCCCAGAGCAGCCATCTAACAGGAAAGGGAAATTCATGGATCCAAGGCCCCGAGCTTTGTTCCTAAGGCTCTTAGGATGGGCTGGACACATTTTTCTTGCCAAGAATGAATTCAACCTGAGCTCCAAATTTGCTCTCCTGCCCTCCCCAACTTTCACCAGGTTGTGCACCGGTATTTATCAGATTCTCAGAACTTACGTTGTGGGGCTGCTGCAGCCTGATGTTGAACTTCATTCCTGGAAAGCAAACAAAGGAGAGTGTTAGCAATGGAAGAACCACAGAGCTCCCAAGGACCTGCTTACAGGCATTTTACAGGTCTGTGGGTGCTCAGCTTGGAGGAAGCTTGGGTGGTCTCCATGAAAAGGCAGTCCATGGGGGAGAATGAGGGGCACAACTCACATGCTAGTGCCACCCTACACTTCTAACAGTCCCTTTGGGCTGGAGCAAAGGCATGGTTCTACTGGCTCTGAGCTGATGCTTACCTTCTCAGCATCCCACCTCCTGAAATGACATGAAGGGTGGCCCCTGTCAAGGTGTGCCCACCCACCACCCAATGGAGTAGTCAGGACCTCATAGAATCCCAGCCCCCATGCTGTCAGGACTTTCCAAAGTCATCAAGTCACAGGAGAAAAGGCTCTCAGAAAGCTCTGTTATCTCTCCATACTCCCTCAGCCATGCCCTGTTCTAGTCCATGTGGACTCTGTACCTGCAATAACATACTCACACCCACACCTTTGCATGCACTAGCCTTCGGAGTGGAGCACACTCCTTCTCTGGCCAGGACTTTGTTCCTTGCTGTAGGAGGTCCCCTAACCTGGGCACGAATGTCAGAATTTTGGCCTTCTCAGTTAGCCTCGGGGTTCCAGGGGTGATCTGATCACATCCTGTTTACTCCAGTCTCCTCCAAAGGGCTGAGCAGGACCCAGGCATAGAGTGATTGTCCAGCAAGCACTTCTTGGCTGACTGGGAAGACGGAGAGAGAGCAGCACAGCACGGGCCACACTCTAGAATGTTTCCTCTGTCCACTCAGGAGGCCCCTTGCCTTGGCGGGGGCCAGGGCCACCCAGGATGATAAACTCAGGTGAGGAAAACCTTTGGCCCAAGCAGAGGATTGTTTCATTCCTTCCTTAGTCTGTTTTGGGGGAAGGTGCTGGCAGGAGATGGAACTTTCCCTTTGGGGGTCCTCCTTAGGAGTCTGGGCCTCCTCCTCAGTCCCTGCCTAGCCCCTGAGGTTCCAGGGCTCTTCCTTCTCCTGTGCCATGTGGTGAGTGTTTTTGCCCTGAGGCTTTTCCAAGGGCCACAGTCACAATCAGAACCAGCCACCCCTTAAACAAGCAGAGAGCAAGAAGGTCCAACTTGTATAATGGCACCACGTCCAACCGCACCACACCAAATGTTGGATGCTGTGTGGGGTTGGCGGCTGGGTTCTAAAGCCCTAGCACTACCTCTGCTGTCTCTGAGTACCCAGCAGAGGTCCAATAGCTGCTACAGGGCACAGGAGACTGAGCCAAGGCTGACGCGCAACTGGTGATGCAACAACTAAACCTTCCATCCCTGGACCCAGAAACTCCACTAACTTCTCTGTGAGGTCTTGGTTCAGCCACTGATAAGGCCCTGGCCTCAAACTGAGGATGTGCCCACACAGCTCCTTCATTCCCTAGCAAGAAATCAGGAGGCATGAGGTCAACATTGGGCTGGAAAGCCTGCATTTCCTGGGTTGCTATGATCTTATTTGAGTCCCAAGAGATGTAGAGATGAAGGCATACCTGGGCTAGCCAGAGTTCATAAACTTGGAACATGATGCATTTTTCTTCTCCTGCGATGCCTTTTTTTTTTTTAATCTCTTTGGGTTGGGGACAGGGCTGAGTCCTTTCTGAGTCAAATGGCAGAGTGACTACACCTCTCTGGGCATTTCCAAGCTTGTATGCATGTGTGTGCATGTATATGTGTGTGTGTATGGGGGAGCTTTGAAACAGGCCTCCCAGGCTGACTCACCCCAGTTGAAGAAGCTCCAGTAAAGCTGGCCACATCCCTCAGGGGCCCTCTCAATCCCAGAGCTTGTTCCCCTCCTTGCCAGTCAGCCCCTTCTATTCCTCATCCCATGTTCACTGCACTGTTCCCAGCACGGTTTCCTGGGCTCATTTCTCTCTGGCACATGGGAGTTTTCTCCTGCAGTCAATGATTACAGGTGCTTTCACTAGAAGGGACCTGCTCCACAGCTCAGTTTTCCTTACACTGTTGGGTTTCCTTAATTATTTTCTTCTAGTGATGGCAGCTGGCTCTGCTAAATCACCTTTCCTCAGAGTCTCAGATACAGAAATTTACTCTGCTTGTCAATCCTGTCAACTTGTCAAGGTGCAATGGTGCTTATTTATATTCTTTTTCAGGAGCAAATAAATCATGCCAGATTTGGCAAAAACGGGATGGAGGAGCCACTTATAAAAGGTGCCCAGGTATTTGGTGAAGTTGGAGGAGGATGCACCTATGGAAGTTGTAGCCCCTAAGGCTGTGACTTCCTACCTATACTCTTCCCCAGTCTGAGAGCTTATGGGCTGTGAGTCCTGACAAACTGGACAGAAGGGCACTGTCTCCCGGACCTCTGGACTCTGAGTCTAAGGTAGTGTTATAGATTGAACGGTGTCCCCCCAAAAGAGGTCAAAGCCCTAACTCCTAGTACTTAGGCAAGTGGACTTGTTTGGAAATAGTGTCTTTGAAGATGAGATCATATCAGAGTAAAAAAAAAAACCAAACTCACTGCCATAAAGTTGGTTCCAACTCATGGAGACCCCTCCTTGGGTTTCCAAGGCAGTATCTCTATGGATGTAGATTGCCCACTCTTCCTTCTGAGGACTGGCTGGTGGGTTTGAACACTAGCCTTCTGGTTAGCAGTCAAATGCCTTAGGCACTATACCACCAGAGTAGGGTGGTCCTGATCCCATCTGAGTGTTGTCCTTATGAAAGTACAAAGCAGACAGAGACACACAGGGGGAAGACAGACATGTGAAGATTCATCTACAAGCCAAAGAATGCCAAGAAAGCCCAGCACTACCAGAAGCTGGGAGAGACAAGGATGGATCTTCCTCTAGAAAAGACTGAAAGTATGGGCCTGCCAATGCCCTGAATTCAGACTTCTCCAGAACTGTGAGATAATAAATTTCTCTTATAGGGCACCCAATTTATGTTACAGCAGCCCTAGAAAACTAATACGGGTCATTTTCAAGGTTGGCTCACTGGAAGGCTGGCCAGGCCTCACCTAGCATGAGCTAGGTGAGGAAGTTTCTGCTTAACAAAACCTGGGACTGAGTCTTCTGACCTCTTGGCTATGTTTGTACACAGAGCCAACATGTCTACATTCGACCCTTTTGGAAAAAAGAATGTCTTTTGGAAAAATCAGTAACAAAATTTATGTGGAGCCTGTGAGTTCTCCAAAAGTTGTATGTTCCCATATTTATGGCAGCTCATTGGACAAAGTGAATTGATCCTGCATCCACATGGCCATTTCTTAATAAGGACAGAAACTTAATAAGGGGAGCGGAATGGGCTCTCCCCCTTGTCAAAGGCTCAATGCCTCTATTTTTTCCATGGAGAAAGCTTCTCTTCTACACACTGCTGAAACAAAGACCACCCTCTGCTCTGGATAAGAGAAAGCCAGGCACTCTGCCCATTTTGAAATTTAGGTCTGCACATTCCCCAGTGGGTTGTACTTTAGGAGCCTGGGAAGCTTGGCTGGAGACTAGCTAAGTACTGCCCTCATAAGTTATCAGTGCCAGTACCCTGGGGGTTTTGACCTCAATGTGACCACCAAAACCAAACATCCAAACTTACTGACGTTGAGTTGATTCCAACTCATAGCGACCCCTCTTTGGGTTTCCGAGGTGGTATCTCTACAGAAGTAGATTGTCTGATCTTCCTTCTGAGGAGTGACTGGTGGGTTTGAACCGCTAGCCTTCTGGTTAGCAATTAAATGCCGTAGGCACTACAAGAAGCCCCAAATCAAGATACAGTCTAGGTAAGCTCCATTGTCCTGTTCCACCCAAGGGAACAAATGGTGCCATGCACCCCCTACCCCCACCCAGTGACCAAGCCAGCTAGGACATGCTCCACTTCAGATTCGGAGGTACCTGCCTTCTTCTCTCAACATAATGCTAAAATTATGTAAGGAAGCTCCAGCCCCTCACCCTAGCTTGTGAAGAAATAAACAACTACTTTCTCTTTCTGGACAGATGACATCTGTAGAGCTCCTGAAACACACACAATAAGATAAGAGTGAGCATCCGTAAGAGTAAACAAGGCATGAGTTATTGAGACTGCCAGATGTATTCCTGACAGAGAACGCCTCACTGGCTGAAGTTTTCTCCTGAATGTTTGACTTCAGGGTGTCCTTGTTACCCACGATGGGATGGCACAGGCTGAGGAGGTTTGTGAGGGCAGTTTCTTAGTAATAAAGCTGAGGCCCTGGGTCTGGGGCGGAGCGGGGATGAGGACTTCACTTTGACGGTATATGGGCTGTCACAAGAGAAAGGCCCCTTTCCCCTTCCTCTCCAGATGCACAGGAGGGCCATCCGATGGGTACAACACAAAAGCTCTAGTCCTTGATGCCCAGGACCCACTGGGAAGGATTGGGGGACTGGTCCTTTGGTTAGGTCATGTAGACAGATGATGACAACATGGGTCAAAATGGGACCCAAGAGCGGGAAGTGCCTCGTGAGCCCTTGACCTCCCCCAGCCCCAGGGTGATGATGTTTGAGGATGACCGCTGCTCAGGCTGCTCAAATTCCAGCCCCAGGCCCTGACAGGGGAGGATCCTAACACTCTGAACACTGTGGCCTGGGAGAAGAGCCCATGAAGAAGGACAGGGATTGGAACTGAGAGGGGCCAGGAGAGGCCAGAAGGGACTGGGTATGGGACTGAAGTCCCTGCCTCGTGTGGAATTTCAGACTCATGGTCCTCAGATCTGTTCCTGGGGTTTCCTGTAATAAGCTGCTTGGCAACTTTTCTATGTCTTGGATCTTCTAATGGCTGGGCTGCATACCAGGCTGTTCCACCCCCATCTGCATGTCCCCTCGCATGTCCACTGTGCTGCTCATCACATTGGCCCAAGCAGGAAGATCAGTGATGGAAACAACCCAGAGTGAGTCCTGGTTCCCCCCCATGTGCAGAATCCTGAGCAAGCTTCAGCCCCACCTGACTCCTTGGCAGCAATGCCTTGTGGGACCCATGCATGGTTGCCCTGGGT